TATACCATTTCCTCATGACAAATAATTATAGCTACCAAGTCAACTATTGCAACAATTTTATTGTACTCAATGAAAAATATATTTATTTAGCTATAATATTTTATTTTAAATAACTCTTGGTGGATAAAATGTTACTATTTCTACAACAAGTTTCAACACGTGACAAAAATTAATAATAACTTCAAAATGTTGTAGCGAAAAATTTATGGCCATATTATTTAACTATTATCAAATTTCTTTTGTAATTTAAGGCAAAATGATTTATTTAGCTACAATATTTTGTTTCAAATAATTTATTATGGCTAAAATGTTACCATTGTTATAATAAATTTAAAATTTGTGACAAAAATTAATAATTAGCTATAAAATTTTACCATAGCAGAAAAGATGTGGTTATATCATATAACTATTGCAACAAATTTTTATAACTTTGAAGCAAAAATACTTAATTAGCAATAATATTTTGTTTCAAATAGTTTATTAGAGCTAAAATGTTACTATTGCCACAATAACTTTTATAGCGTGACAAAAAGTATGATCAACTACAAAATTTTATTATAGCAATAAAACTATAGCTATTTAGTCAATTATTGACATGATTATTAACAATTATAGCAAAAATGGAGAATTCAATTAAATGTTTTTAAATTAAAATAGATTTTAAGAAATTTTGTAGTGTTTGACTAAAATAAAAAAGTACTTATAAGATTTATAATTTATAGCTTTGTTAATAGAAGAGGACAGGAACTTTGAAGAGGAAAAAAGAAGCATCGAATACATAGATAATGACACACCAAATGTTCAATAAAACATCGAATACATAATATACATATCATATTATTAACTAATTACAACTATGATTTACCCAATAATTTCTTAATCTCAATTTTTAATTCTAAGAGCAGTTTATTTTTTTTTATTTTAAAAAAAAAATCAAGAATGTGAATTTCTTCCGCAAAAAGTTTTCTTTGCAAACCCAAATTCTTCGAGCACATTCTATTATGAAGTTGGTGGAAATTTTTTAATTATTTTTAAAATTCTAAATATTAATTAGGTAAAATTTTAAATAACATGGCGTTATTTATAAAAGAATAAAATAATCGTTTGACAAGGAATAGATAGATATAAAGATATCATTATAGATATAAATATGGATAGATTTAGATTAAAAGGATATATAAGTTGATTAATATTTCAAGAATATTTTTATCATTCAACATTATTATTTGTGTTGTATAATAATATAGATAGATATAAATAGATAAATGGATACAAATAAAGCTATCATTATAGATAGATTGACATAAATAAATAACTTTTATTGTGTACTTCTTAAATTATGCAACTTCTATTTGCCTTTTAACTGTATATTGTTAACTAAGGTCGGACATTAGTAAATTGCATATGGTCTCAAAAACTAAAAGCTAAGCTTTCGGATTTCAATGGCCTAAAGTCACAAGAGGACCATTATAATTTAATTCTTTGAATGAGTAGGATTGCCCACTAAAATACCTATTATTTTAAAAGATAGAACTATGAACAAAGTTTGAGAAATATTTATAAATGACATCACAACAAATATTTTTATGTATAAATTGTTTTTAAAGTGTATATATATAATGTCGGATTGGTGGTGTGATTTGATTTTTTTTAGTTAAAACCAAATCAAATCAATTATGATGGAAAAAATTTCACTATCAAACCAAACCACTAATTATTTATTCCGGCTTTGGATTAGGACATAATCCAGATGTATTTAGGTTATTTGGGTATGCTTATGTGTTCTGTTGATTAATTGTAGATCAAGAACATGCTAGGTATCATAATAAGGGGAGACCTTAGGTTTCATAGAGTATTCCAGACTTAATTCGTGGTAGGTGATGGCTGTTTGATTTCCATTTACGTCATATATGCTTGTTAACTACTGCATTAATATTACCTATAGACCATATGACTAGGGAAATAAGAGGAATATAAGCGGACATGTTTTATTGTTATCAATCGCAGTGAATGTGTTTATTTGGTGTACAAATGTGATTTGTATTCAAATTGATTGTGATGTTTGATTGATGATTGTCTCGGGTATCACACCTGATACATACTAACGGTTGATATAGGTACCACACCTTGTACGAAATATCCATTTATGGTTGGCTCAGGTCCACACCAGTACATACTAACGGTTGGCTCGGATAACACACCGGGTACATTAGTTGTTTGTGTGTGTGGGTTCCGTGAGTGAATCGGGTTGGCTTGTTACACTGTTGTTGATCATGTTATTGGATGTGTTATCTTTTTTAGTAAGTTGTGGTGACCTGTTCATATTTTGCGTAACTGGAGTTGGCTAGCGATTCTATTTGTACATTGTGAAATTTGTGTACTGATACTGCACTAGCTCTTTTTTATTGAATATATGGCCTATTTCAGTGGCTACTTTGTGACCTCAGTTGTGACTCTAGTGTTTCTTGAATCCAAAGGTGAGTTGTTCTTTCAGGATGCTATTTCTATCTATTTTTCGGACCTAGACTCTTTTGGTTTCGGGGTTACATCCCTTCATTCTAGTTGTGACACTAGTGTTTCTTGAAATCCAAATGTGAGTTGTTCTTTCGGGATGCTATGGATTCCTCTATTCTATCTAGTTGTAACTCTAGTGTTTCTTGAATCCAAAGGCGAGTTGTTCTTTCAGGATGCTATGGATTTCTCTATTCTGTCTATTTTTCGGATCCTTGAAATTATTTTTGTTGGTGAAGGTACTAAGAATGATTGGTCTTAAATCCCCAAAATTGTTCATTGTCTTCTCTTTAGGGATTAAGTTCAGATTCTGTGTGTGATGAACCTTGGCATCTCCATTCCACAGTAAAAAGCTTTTACCATGTTATAATGATGTCCTGTTTCACAATTTCCCAGCAACTTATGCCCAGATATTCATCTAGCCCACTTGCATTGTCCCCATTTAGGTAACAAACTACCCTTTTTTTTACATTTTCTTCTGCTGGAAGTCTTTCCATCTCTTCATTTTGCTCCCTGGATATTATCTTTGGAATATTTTCCAACATGGCGTAGTCTGTAGGGTCATTGGTTTCTGTGAACTGTTGCCTAAACATATTAATTGTCTCCTCTCCAATGTTTTGTGTGGAAGAAGTTATATCTCCTTGCATCGTCTTTATTTATTAAATGTGTAGCTTCCTTCTTCTACCATGTACATAAGCATGAAAGAATTTTGTATTTTGTATCCTTCCTGCAACCACCTCATTTCAGCCTTCTGCTTCTAGTTTTCCTCATTTGTATGTAGGTACCTTTTTAGGTTAGCTTCTTCCTTTTTTAAACAAGTCCTATTCTTTGGTGTTGGGTTGATTTCAAGTTGAGCTTCCTTAGCTTTTATCACATCTTCCGATGTTTCCACTTGTTGGAATATATTCCCAAAAGTTTATTTGCTCCATTGCACCAAGACTACCTTTAATATTTTAAGCTTCTGTTGTACTATGGTAAAAGGTGATCCTTGTTCCTCCTTTTTCCAGCTCTCTTCAACCACTTTAATAAATTCATTGTGCTTAGCTCAGAAATTCAAGAAACTAAATGGTTTGTTGATCTGCTCCTGTAAATTGTTGCAAGTCACATGTAGAGGGGCATGGTCAGACCCTTTCCTAATCAAGTGATGGACCTCACTTTCTTGGAGAATGTTCATGAATTCCTTATTTGTAAAAACTCTGTCAAGTCTTTTGAATTTACATTCCTCCTCAATTCTTTCATTCCACCAAGTATAACACCTTCTAGTAAACTCCAATTCATCAGGTGCACAAGTATTAATACACTGAATAAAATTAGTAGTTTCATTCCGTATAATTGGCAATTCACTCAACTTTTCTGAATCATGCATGCTAGTGTCGTAATCGCCTCCTACTAGCTAAGGGGCATGTTGTGTTGTTAGAAATGTCTTCAAGATCCTCTCGCAATTCTAATCTTTTCAGAGCATTACATCTAAGATGTATACTACAATTATCTTGACTATATTCTGATTCACTTTATGCTTGAATAGAATGGTTATTTGTTGTATACTGAGCAATTAGCTTTGGCATGTTGTTTGCCAAGTCTTCTCCGGTAGATTTTAATCTATGATGGGCTTTGAAAAGGCTCTAAGAGGGCTATATATGAATAATGATATTTTCTATTAAGATCAAGTAGTCTCTCAAAGGCATTTTGAGATTATTTGTAGAGGCATAATGCTGTTGTTTTTATTTTTATGCCTTCCTTTCAGATACCCTATTTGTTGTGGCGACAGATCCCCATCTCTACCTATCTACTTTATAGATGCCTCTAGATTATCTTTTTCTTATGTATCTTGCTTTTCCTACACTTCTGTGATTTGCATTTTGTCTATTCTGGGAGTTGCTTTCTCTAGTGTATCTTTGATATTTTGATGCCCTTCTTCCTACTCCTTTGTGTTCTCCTCCTTGTTCTCCATGTCAACCTCCATCTTAGAATTCTTTGTTTGTTTTTTTCTTCCTCAATTCTATCCCTGGTGGCAATATCGACGTTTGTACTTTCTGCATTTGGGGTCTCCTTGACTTTTAGGGGGTGATTCCATAGTTTTTGAGTTCGTGATGCTTTGAGCTCTTAATGGAGTAAGTTCTTTATCTATGTGCTTAGAATTTGAATTTGTGCTTCTTACCGCCTTATCATGTCTGCTTTGATCTTCCACCTTCTGCTGAGTATTTTTTTCTTTTTCTTTTCCCTGTTCTTCCTTCTAGCCCTTGTTGTGATCTATGCTCTTTGTTGTTTTGTGTTTCCTCCTTGTCCACTCCTTTCTCTAATGCATCAAATTTATTTTCTATTGTCACCAGTTGATCATTTCTTTGGTGCATCCTTGGATTCCATATTTGTTAAGGTTTTCCGTTCTAATAAAATCTTCCTCTTCTGTTACCATTTTTCCTCCTTCGCTCCTTGAATTTAGTAGCATCATCCACATTCTCCTTCCCTTTTTGTTGTTGCCTTATTTCGTTTTACTTTTTGCCAAATTTCTTTTTATCTTCATTGATCTTCCTTTTTTCTAACTCATTGTCTGTGTTCTCATATTCCTTATCTCCTTCCTCCTCCGTTTCATCCTTTGGGTATAGCTTTTGATGGAGAATGAGACATTCTTTCTCATTATGCCCCTGCAGCTTACATGTCTTGAAATATTTAGGCACATAATCATACTTTATAGTTACCCATCTTTCCAATACCTTTCTTGATTTCTTCCTCATTCCCACATTGATGCATTTTGGGAATTCTCCAAGCATATCCAATTCCACCTTCACTCTTGTACAACTAGGGTGTGTTTTATTCAGAGTTGTCATATCAACATGTAGTGGCTTTCCTACTGTTGTTGCCGCCATTGAGAAGACAGGTTCTTTTCCAAGGAAATTTGGAGGTAGTGCTGGTAAAGAGATCCACACAATAGCAGTAGTAGTTTCTTCTTCTAGATCAAAATTAGATTTCCATTTCAATATTCTCATTGGGTCCGACTAGTAATTGTGGGTGATATAAAATTAGGGCTTTGATAGCAGATTCACATAATCCTGCAGTAGTGAAGCCCTAATCAATATGTATCTATTGCTAAGTAGACCTATGTTTACTTTCCATTTGAGCTCACATTGTTTTTGTATAAGTCTTCTAAGATCTTGTATTTCTGGCCAACCATATGAAAATTTTCCAATAACAACATATTGAAGTTTTTCATTGATGATCATTTGCTCTACTTCTTCCTCTTCCCAAACTATCTTTGGTTCTCCATGCAGGTACATGATTGGCTTTAAAGGTAACCATTTGGTATTTTGAATTGGTGGTGTTAAGGTATTTGCATATAGGTTTGTTATAGTCAATGGGCACAATTGGTTGGCCAGCTTCCATAGATGGAGGGTGGGCGGTGGCCGTAGTGGCTATGATTGCGATGAGTTTTTAGGGAAATATTAGGTTTTAGGCTTTTAGGTGGAGAGTGATTAAGAGTATTATTGTTAGAAGAAAAAAAGAAGTTCAAAGGAAGAAGTAAATAAAATGAATAGAATCAGTTTGGTGCTTACAGTGAGCTCATGTCATCACGACTTCTCTAGTCAATTAATTAATTAGTATATAGAGTTGATTATAATTACCAAAATATATAGAAAAATTAAGGTAATAAATTTAAAATAGAAAGACAAGGGTAAAAAGGCAAGTGTCAAAATAGTAGTACTACTGACCAGATACATGGAAATTATGAGAAGTCTGATTTTTCTGTAAATGGGGAAAGTAGCACAGCCCTTAATGCCTGAATGTATATAACTCTTAAAGCAATAGCTTGAGTGAATTTTGAAAGTACTCTGGAAGTGGGCAAGCACAAATCTTGACGATAAGAAGGCTGCTAATTGTCATTTCTTATATAGTAATAATAGCTAAACTTTAATATATTTCCTATCTTTGAGAGAAAAAGGAAAACATAACCATCTGAAAAGTACACTTCTGTAAAATCCATTACTTCTAAGTTCTAACAACAAATTTTTTACTATTCTTTTTGTTAACCGTAAGGAAACTAACTTTTTTCTAAAAAGATTTATAAGTAGCTTTTACCATTTGAGTCATGTAAGAATAATGATTCATCTTGCAAATGGAATTGAGGCTTCTAAATTGTCTATCACATTATGGTCTTTCTAAATACCCACCACCTGCCCTTTCGTATTTAAATATTTAACAACATTAATCTTATCATGTCTTGCCCTGCCCCGCCTTGCTCGGTTAAGGGGTTGTTTCACGATCCAAAAATTGGGAGTGATGGCACCTGTCTTATCCCACCAAGACAGGTCACCCTAAACAAGCCTCGATAAGGTAAATATAGAAGTAAGAATGAAATTTTAGATCTAATCAAAACATAAACATGTGGAATCATAATATAACCCAATACCCCAAGAATTTGGTGTCACGTGTACAAGCCTCTAAGTATTACAATATATTTAAAATAAATACAAGTACGAATGTTTCCGTCTCTAGAACAGAACAAGGACATAATAAGAGAGTAAGTGACATTTGCTGACAAGACAAGAAGCTACCTCAAGAACTCTAAAAGCAAGCCTTTGATGAAGATGAGAGAGAGCGATCAAGACGATCCGGACTCGTAACCTACACAAGTGTAGAAAGCAAGGGAGTGAATACCAAACAACAATGGTACTCAACAAACATCCCTAGCTAACCATAAGGAAAACAATACTGAACACAAGTACTCCAGCACACATGCATAGAAATCAAACCAACTCAACCTAACAATTCACAATTCATAGAACAACATAGCACATATAAGACATCACAACTCGCACCTCAACACTTACATAATATCATAACGATCTTTCATATTCCAGTAACCACAAGATCATGATAACAATCCACTCATGAAGATCAAGGAATAAGGATGAAGTGCAATGCAATGTAGTGTAATGTCATATAGAGTGATGCATGCATGTCTTAACAATACACACCCGTTGAATATTTGGCCGGGACTCATGGGGGACTCACAAGGTTTATGCATCTGCCGGAACCATTTCACTTCGGCATATCTCATTTGCTAGAACCATTTACCTTCAACATAACTCATTTACCGACACCATTTCCCTTCGCCATAAGTATCAATTGTCCGAACCATTTTCCTTTGGCATAAATATATCCAAATCTCATAATAGCATTTCATAATCAATGCAAAAAAGCATGTACACATGAATAATGGGAAGACGATAAATTCTATATCAATAAACAATCCACACTCACACAATCATAGCATATCATCAAAGTGAGTCAACATAACCATTCATGACACATCATATATTATTATATCAACAAATTTATTTTTACCCTACAATATCATCACTAGAATTCAATCAACATTTAACAATGAATAAGAATTATGAAACCCTTCACCAGTTTTCATTACTCTCAATTACACAATAAAGCATACATGGTTCAATACAGTTAACGAAGGGTCAAATAGGTCCACTTGCCTTAAAAGAGAGTGAAATCAACTCGGCACTTGTGCCTCCCTTTCACGTCGAGTCACCGAATCCACACCAACTAAACACATGAACAATGGAACCCATAATGTTGATTTTGAAAATCTGATTTGAAATGACCCAAAAGTCAATCTCGAGGGCAAAGGGTAAATATGAAATTTTTATATACTAATATGATACCCAAAGATTTAGGAATTCACACGTGAAATTGCATTTAAAATGAGTAAGAAATCATCCCTAAAAGCTCAAAACACAAGATCAAAGTTTATGAGAAAAACCCCAATAATCGGATTCGAGACCCTGACTCAAATTTGAAATATTTCTTGAAAAACATCTTACCCATTCTTTGGGAAGTTCAAATATGAAGTTTCATAAAAAAAAAGGAGTTCATATTCCTCTATTTATCAAACTTTAACTTTATCGGGAGAACCCCAAATTCTCAAGCTTATACACAATTAGTATGATGAAAATAATTGATAAATCAACTAGTTTATGCCAAAATCAGTTTACCGATAACATAATGATCCTAAATATATATTTTTCAGAAAAAATAAAGTTCAAATCGATAAAACCCAAATTTTCCTGAGAAATTCACAGACAAAGAAAGAAAACCAGATGAAGAAATCATGATATAATGCCAAATAAGGATCTGATACTAACCCCCATATTAAATCGAGAAGAATGCTGCAAGAATCACTCGATTCCGAGCTCTAGAATTCCCAATTTGCTCAAAATACCAAATGAAACACAATTTTAAATTTTAAATACCTAAACCACAATATTTTAACAAGAAACCAACAACTTAAATGCTTTTCACTAAGAAGTCGTAACTTCCTCATACGATAGAAAAATGACCCAATTCTTTCCCTAAATGCTTTAAATAATGATATTGGCCTGCTTGCTCAATCGAAACTCAATTTCGTGCTTGTTTTCCCAGTCAAATATCATTTTTTCTCGATAACAAATTATTTCATATTTTGCAATAAAAGTCCAATCGTTGCCCTAGCAAAAAATCACCAAACTTTGCAGATAAGTCCTATAATTCATGCTCAAACTTTCAGAAGTTTTGGAATAATTTTTCGATCTTTAAAACTAATAACGAATCTTTTAGTTGACACAAATCACTTAAACAACGCAAAAGCACCCAACATGCTTTAAAATTCACCCAAAATCATCTGGAGCCTCCTCAACAAAAACCAAATATGCTAGTAACTTGGAAATCATATTTTAGATTCAATGAAATCATCACAACACCCAAACAAAGTCATCTTAACCCGATGTTGACCAAATTTAACTTTAACTTAAGAATTTCCAAATTTTCAAATGATGACATGAAACTCATCCAAGAATTTCGGAAACTGAACCAAAACTTCAACTAGACCAAATATCACCATTCAAACCTAGTGGAATTATCAAAACTTGAAAATGATCTTTCTAACCTCAAACGTTGACTAAATTTAAATTTTAGCTTTAACTTTTCTAGCATCCCGTCTAATGAGTATAAATCTAACCAAAAGCCTTAGGACCCAAACCCACGGTGCATCTAGATCAAAAATAACATTCCGGAGGTAACATAGTTGTGGGAATTCTATTATGAGCTTGCTATCACTAGATGTGCACCTTGGCCAACTATCTTATGTTTTCAACTTTCAAAACACAAAAACTCTTCCAAAACTCATCTAAATACCCAAAACCTGAGCCAATATTCCTACTAACCCCAAATTCACATTTCGGAGCTGATTGAATTCCATTTCGAGACTCGAAACTTCAAATGTTGACTAAAGTTAACCATTTCCACTTAAAAGCTTCAAAAACTCTTATGACTTCCAAAAATCTGAACTTTTCGATCCAATTTAAAATCTAACCTCATAAACTGATGAAATATGACTCGGGGCAACTATCAGGAGGGGCAAAATGCTAAAATTCTAGAAAATTCCAAAAATGACATTCAAGATCATTACAGCTTGCCCTTCTGTACCTTGTTAAGAGCTAGCCCCACCTTGTCTCGTATTCGCTATGCTCCATTCCCATCCCTAAAAGACACCAAATTTTCTTCATTCCTATGGAAAAACCCCAACATAGTTAGGTTGGGATAGATACCAACGATATATCTCCTGGTCCATAAGTATTTGATTTTCTAATAATTGGATTGCCAATCATTCTGTATCATTTATGAAACATTGGGTATGCTAAGGAAACTTTTCAAATACTTGGAGGATGTTATGTGAAATTCTTTTCCCTATAAATAGTCCTTCATCTCATGTAGGAAAACAAACAAAAAGGGATTGGGAGTACTAACAACTTGAAGTTTGTTTCCTAGGTACACACATTCTATATAAAAAAAAAATTTATGCCTATTTACTCAATTTCACTTCTTTTCTATTTTGGTTAGATTCATTCACAGAATTAAGAAGACTATGGCAAACATCATTTCTAGTAAAGTAGAAGCACTTCCTTAAACTTATGTCTTACCAATGCATGGAAGGCCA